GTAATAACGAAACATTATGCTTTCCTTCTCTGCAAAATCAGGCTGATTGTGTATTGGCTGTGACTGGGTGTTTACCTGAGCTAAAATACTGCTCTGGAATTCACACTGTAAATAAACTAGCTAGACTTCTGGGATTAATCCACTCTATCTGGARAACACCCTCCAATTTGTCATAACATGGTAACTCGGTACATACTACATAATCTGCCAAGCAAATATTACGTAATCTGTTGAATTTACATTTGCAGGCTATTAAAAGAATATGGATCAATCTGGCAGCACATGAGAGGAGGACCATCACATGTCATCTTTTTTGTTGTCTCTTTAGTGAAAAAATCAGATCATCACTTTTTTTTTACTCCTGGATTTGATACGTATTATGTTGATGCATGTTTTTTTGTTCTTTTTTTGTGTGGCACCTTGCAGGATCCTAGCCCATTGAAATGAAAAAGAGCTACAGTGCAGTATGATACGATAAATTTTTTTTTCAGTTTTTATAAGCTACAGAAAAAACTCAACTGTGGTGTGAGATTTTTCTCTATTTATTACTCTATTTACTACTTCTGTATTTAATAGCTGTGACAATATAGAAATTTTATGCTTGTATCTTTATTTTTTGGTCTTTTCAGGGTGAGAATTCCAGACGTTTTATAAAATTGGCCACTTTAAGTAAACTGAAAATAGTCTTTACTAGAAAAAAACAAGTCGTACTCTTTAGACTTTTAAACTGTGGTATAGTCTAAAATGAGTTGAGTTCAGATTGTTGCATTACTTGTGTGGATGCCTTTTTGGGGAATATATGGTATATGAATGGCTGTCTTTTGACTGTAGAAAACCARAGTCTCTGATTACCTCCAAGTTCAAATTTAAGTTTTGAATAATGAGGCAAACATAAGAATTAAGTTTTCAGTAGAATCTGCCTGTGTCTGGCTTTTCCATTCATCAAGTTTCATTTAAGTTGTATGTCCTAATTATGTAAAACRTGGTCTATAGGAGTAGGTTAATTCAGAGTACTTGTGCCAGGRTTTTCTAGCCCTTAAGAAATTTCTCGTTGGAAATCTAGCTGTTTCAACACCCAGCACTAAGCATGGCACTTTTCCAGGAGCAGTATTCCTGCTGTAATGAACAGAGATATTTACTTTAGATATGACTAGGATAAAAAATGGGAATGTAAGAAGCTGGAAAGAGGCGAACACAGGGTTGACAGGATTTCTGGGTGCACTGCATTTGTGTGTGAAGCACGTAYGCCTGCCCTTGGCTCTGTGAAAGGGCTTAAAAATGCCATTCTTTTTTGGAAGGATTTGCATTTTGCAGTGCTGGAAAGGTGGTTTGAATCCCCACGTGCTCTTACATAGTACCTTTTAGAAGGGAGGTGAAGCACTACTACTATCCTGAAAACATGGAGCTGTGGCAAGTCAGGTTCTGGTTTTGACCTTCTTAGTGTGGGCCCATCCTTTAAATAAAGGATAAAAAAGCAGTGTGTTCCCTTTAATCTAATCCTCATCAGACCAGTCCAAGGCAGTGGGTTGTACCGTGTCATCTGCCTTCTCCTTAGAGAGTCACAGCAACACTTGGGTGTATCAAGTGTTATTGCTGTGAATGTGGCACAGTGTGTTCCTGGAAATAAGAATGGAGTCATCCCCACTTGTTCAAAGCACCCTTATCTGTCTCTGCATTTATTCTCTCTCGTGGTACAGTAACTGCTTCAAAATTTCCAGTGCGTGTGTCAAGTTACAGATTAGTGCAGGCCCCTGTGGTTCTTGGAACAGCATGGGGCTGTTTTTGTTTACTGATGACATTTATCCTCTCATTTCCTTTTGGAAGCATGACAGCTTCTCACTGTCTCATGGGGAATGTACTTACAGGMTCTTCTATTCATGCCACGTCTGACAGCAAGTGCTGCACTGCACAGTATCCATGTCTGCTTGCTATGGAGCGGCTGCTCGTGCTGCCAGCAGCCAGACTGGCAGGAGCTTGGCTGGCCATGGAAGCAAAAGGCTTTCTAAGTGCAATCATCTTCTCTTGCAGGAGGAGACCGAGAGCGGATGACAGCAAAYCATGAGACCTACCTGCTCATGGCGAGCACGCAGAATGACATGGAGGATTGGGTGAAATCCATCCGCAGGGTTATATGGGCACCGTTCGGAGGAGGTGAGTCACKCAGGGAACATGCAGTGCTCACAGATACACAGGGATTCTTCTGTTATCTCACTCACAGCCACAGTTCTGAAGTGGACAATGGTCTAGATCCTTCCAGAAAAATGGAAGTAAACATGTTTCCATGCAGAGGGCTCAATTAAAAGACTTTGAACTGTCTGGAATCACTTCCCTTGATGAGGATAGCACATGGTAGTGTGAGGGGAAGTTTTCACAGACAAGTTTTCACAGAAGATTGGTCTTGTATGAAATCAGCTTTCCTGCAGGGAGAGGCAGGGTAATTCCTTTGGTCACCAGCTGAAAAACCATCCATGTGTTTCTTAAATGCCTGTTCGAAAAGCTGTCAGTGATTCTCCTGACAGTGACAGCTAAGACCAGTAATRGTATTATATAAAGCTGTGCCTCAGAATATTAGCACTAACAGTATAGGAATTTGATTGGCATCTCCCATGATTTCAGTAGTAYTGGCCCCAAATTTATTGTTGGGAATCTAGCTGTCTTTTTAAAAAGCTCTCTTATGAGAGCTTATGAGATGTTGAATGGGCTGCAAATTATTACAATAATTTTCAGCATTACTATTCTGGTGATCACGTCTATTATAATACGAGYGTGATTGATACACTTGCACAAAATGTCTGCATGTTAATCAGACTGTTCCTTGAAGCTCTCAAATCTATGTCTGGGGAYAGAAATATTTTTCTACAGTGCAAAACTGCCTGTATTGTATCACATTGTTGGTCTGGTCTGCAGGTTGCTGGAAAAGTCACAAGGGCAGGATTGTCTGTGCTGTTTCATAACCAAGAAATGCACTTATCACTGAAAACTCTGATGACTTCAAATTACTTTTTCTCAACTGCCAGATAGACCAAAGGAGGGAAAAGGAGAGACTGAAGGAAACTACCATTAAAAAAAAACAACTTTCCTTGTAAGCCACCCATCTTTGTGCTTTATTCAGATCAGAGGATGTGTAGGAGTGGCCTCACTGRTGGGCTGCACTGAGGGACTTGTTCAGCTAGGGCCTGCCTGGCATCTCTGAAACATGACTGTCTTTTCCTTGGCTTCTCTTGGGGAAATGTGCCTTGGAAAGATGGTGCAAAGCAGTCATCTCGCTGGCATCTTGCCCTTCAGACCTTAAATAAGATGGTGCAGTCCTGAATCTGGGAATGTAGGTATTAGAATCTTAAAAAAAAACCAAACCACCTATACAAAAAAAAACCCCAAAACTCACAAAGTGAAAGGTTTGTCTTAAAGGCGTGAACTGCTACAGGTATATGGAGTTGGTTTGGGAAAGTATGAGGTGCAGTCCTCTGTATTAGGCTAGGGAAGAAACCTGGGGTTTTATATAGCACAAAGATTACCCATCCCCAGCTTTCTCTTTGCAAAGCAAGCCTCATGTTGAGCTCCTCAGTGTTCTCCTGCTCCAGTACAGTGGCAGCATAAGCTGCAGTGGCAGTCATAAATTTAAGAGCTTAGCAGGAAGTGGATTTTTCAAAGAGTATCTTAGTGGATTTTTGCACTTGGCTTCCTACACCACACTATCTTTCTGTGGCAGATAATAAGGAAAGGCAGCCTTGCTGTTCTTCTGCWAGTGGAGAAGTCTCTACATGTCACAGGCAGGGAGCTGTGATTAGGTGAAACTAAATTCTAGCCCAAGTCCGTGCACAGAGCTACAAATAGAAACCAAATCTCCCAAGTCCTGACCCTGTGCTTTCTTCACCAGCTCCTCATTTGCTTTTATAGGGCAAGARCTATTTCTGATTTGCAGCTGGGAATCCTTCCAGCCACCAAGAAAATTCTCAGGACACCATCATTGTTGCAGGAATGTTTAATGCAGTTACTGAGGGAAGTACCTCACTGAGGATTTTGCTTGCTGATTTCCATAAAACTAGAGAGGTGCAATCCTTGCATTACCTTTTCAGTACATGTATAGTAAAACACTTAAAAGTATGTTCCTGTTCTTGCTTTTGGGTGTCTTGAGCAAGAATAATGATTCAGGGTTGTTTGTATTAGGAAGCAAACAGTTAACTCCCTAGAAAACACGAGAATAGATGGAACATAATTTAAGGTGTAGTGTTCATAGAGAAGGTTTGACTGTGATAACAAGGCAAAGGCAGTATCATGGGATGTGTTACCATTAAGAACCGAATTTCCAACTTGTCCTCCATTTTATTAACAACTTGATAGTCAGAGCTATCTTAGCAAGTATAAAGAAATCCTGTTAACWGTTCTGTAATTATGACTGTCCAGACACACTCGTATTTTTATTATTCTTTGCTRCGTGAATGTTGCTACAGCTGCTGCAACAGTCTGACCCTTCTTAAGACAGGCATTTCTGTCTTAAGATACCATAAGAGCCTGCCTTTATGAGCTGTAGCTGCTGAAGTTAAAAATGGTTTTATGTATTAGCTGTAAAAAAGATACAGGAAAGTTGTAATCACATGATGATGACTAGCCAGTAAAAAAATAATTACTTGCTACACATTATTTCTGACAGCTCATTGATCAAAATACTAGTTTTATATCAGCTTCCTAAATTTCAGTATTTAATGGTAAACCACAATAGCCTGTTGTCATACAAGTCAAGTGCCTCTTTGAGTTACATGTGAATTTTCTGGTTCTTCTAAGCATTGTCAGTAAGCTCTGTGTGTATGTGTGTTGTGTGTGTGTGTGTGCAGCAGATGTGTACAAGCGTTGGTGAGCCACTAATATTTAAAGTTTGTCTGGCAGTGGCAGAGGACTCCTGGTACCAGAGCARGGAGCTCTGTAAATGATTAACCATATCATTAAATTGTTATTTGTTAACCTGTGCTAGAAAGAGAAGGTGGGAGGGGGGCAGGTGGGAATCTGCTAAGCTCATCAGAAACGGTGTTTTTTGCACCGAAAGAATAAGGTGACCATGGAAAAAAAAATCTGAAAGGGAAAATAAATGTAAATGAGGCAGGGCATATAATGCCTGTTTGCACATGAAATTCCCTTCCTGATTAGATTAAAAAGGCAATTTTTTACAGAGCCTGCAACTAAGGAGGGGAGGGAGTAAGCGACAAGAAGGAGCATGAGCATTTTAGCAGGGGCAGCAGTGTAAGGTCTGGCACCTCCTGCAGGAGCCAGGCACAGCCTGCTCGCTTTCGCAGCCGCCGCACATGACAGGCGCCTGAAGTCAACTCAAAGTCACCCGAGGAGACACAGAGGAGCGCTGCGGCTGCTCGGCCGCGTCCTCCCCGCACCTGCTGCTCCCGCAGACAGCGGCACGGCCCCGGGGCCGGCGGGCGAGCATCCCCCGCCGCAAGCACCGATTCCTCCCTGCTCCCGGGATCCTGCCAGCGAGGATGCGCCGCTGCCGCATCTGACGCGCCTCTCCCGGGAGAGCTCCTGCTACTTGGAAGGCAATAAAACAAGCGAGAAGCCCACGAGAGCATCACACGAGGAGCTGGCTGTATAAAAGGACTTTTGAGAGCARTCTGGTGGGGACGAAGAGCCTTTCGGGCGAAGAGACTGTTGTTTTTGCTTCTCAGTTGCAGAAAGAAAGCGTGCCAGCGAGGAGTGTTGTATCCTGGAGGATTCTTCCGTGGCCTTTTTGGTATTGTTCTTCTCTTTCCCCTTGCACACCRCACGGTGCTGAGCTTTTGCTGTGGAATTAGAGTCTCTGCCACTCAGCCTCCTGTTCCAGCTGGGAGGAAGAGGTCTTTCTCCCCCTCCATCTGTRCAGGCACTTCTGTTTGAATGGAAGATACATCTTTTTTTCTGAAACTCTTTTGTTGTGACATTGCATAATAGGCAGTTGTCTCACCGCAGGAAATAAAAGAAACGAAAGGAAATTGATGGAARGAAATTGTTCCCCAAAGCAAAACTGAAGCAGGGAAGAGAACATCAGAGTAATTTCAAGCCCTACCCAAGATCTAGAAGACACAAATCTCCTATCTCCAGAGGAAAATACACTGTTACAGAAACTCCTCAGCAGTCAGTAACGATGAGCAGTTGTGTTTCGTCTGGATGCTGCTGGTGAAGGAGAGCTTTGGAGGGACGTGGTGGCTCTGGCCTGTATGATGCCTGAAGACAGAAATGCTGGAGTGCGCAGCCCAGGTGCCTTAGCAGCAGCTCCCTTCATTCCTAAAACTACTTATAGGAGAATTAAGCGGTGTTTTAGTTTCCGCAAAGGTAGGTCTGTTCTGTCCTTGTGTTCTGCTTTGCTGCTGAAGCCACGGCTTCTGAGAAGTCAAGGGGGCTCTGTGAGCAGGGGCAGATGAGAGCACCGAAACAAAGGGCAYTAAACAATGCAGATGACAACATTCCACGAATGATTTATTTACTCCTTTGTTCATTTGTTTGTAGCTTGCCAGCGGATACTGTCTCTACATAATAGCCCATGAATGCAGGAATGAGGTGGAATGAGACAAGATTATTGCAGTGCCTCTGAGCAGAATTGAGTGAGAGCACTGAGGGAATCAGACCTGAGATGCTCTGAGTTGCCTATTTGGCAGAGCATCAGGAAAAAAGAGTTTATATTTGCATTTTGTCAGTGTGGGAGGAGGGAGGGAGAAGAGAGGGAGCAAAGGAAGGTGATAAATGTTCATCTGCAGGAACCTGGGTCCTTGGTTTCAGAGGTTTCTGATGGAATGGAGTGTAGCTCTACAATGCACTGTCCTGGTGCAAGTGCTGCATTGCCACTTCATCGTGCTGCCCTGCAGCCTGCATTTGCCTTTTCACCTGCTGCATATAGAGCTTTATAGCCAGTTTTGTTCTGCATTGCACATATTCCTGTTGAAGCAGAGTGTGACAGTACTGGGGGAAAGAGGGCAAAGAGGAGGCTGGATGTCATATGTCAGTGGGAAACACATGTCTGAGACAGAGACGGGACAAGTGATGGTAAGGTGCTCTGCACTTGGGATAGGTAGGGAGAAACTGTTTCCATGACAAGGACTAAAACTTTGTGTGGGGGAAGAAGAGGATATTAATGCTTTTTTAAAAGCTCTGTTGGACTGAGAAATCTGAGTGCAAGGGCTAATTGACATGCTTTTCTGAAGCACAAAGCATTATTTGACACAGGGCTTATACAAATTCTGTCACCAGCTTCTCCTGCTCCCAAGCCTCAGCTGTTCCTCTGTGCTGCCATTTACCCTTTTGCAAGACCACRCAGCTCTTTGCTCCGAAGCCTCAGCAGGGATGTAGTGACATCATTGCTTTCGAGGGTTGGCAGGCAGGCAGTGAGGGGCGATGTCTTGGAAYGAAGAATCGCAGCCAGTGAGGGGCTCGCTGCAGAACTGCTGCAGAGATCAGCTCTCACCTGCCAGCTGAGATAGCACTGGGAGCTGTTTGCCCCTGTACCCCCCTCCCCAAGGCACTTGGCTGCTGGAGTTCAGTCCTGCTGGAGGCTGGCCAGGAGGATGTGCATGTGTATTGCATTTCAAGGTGTCGGTGTGAATTGGAGCTGCCTGTGCTCCCTTTATACCCTTAACTATTTGAGAAATGTTTGGAAGTTCAATAAAGGATTAACTGATAATTTTGCAGACAGCTGCCTTTGTGTCTTAGCTGCTCCAAGAAGAGCTTCAGCTGTTGATTCTTCCCCCATATGTTCTCATACAGAAACTCTCCATGTCYAAAACTCCCAGTGAAGCAGCAGTGCTTGGGGCAGAGGACAGAGTGAGGGAGGTGATGCTGCTAATTTGCTTTTCTTTAATGTAAAATTTGTTTCAGATGTTTTCTTGCACACATTTTTTGTCAAGGCCCCTAGATCAGAGCTGCAGAATGCTAGGGCGTATATTTAACTAGGTCCATGTCCCACTGAAGTCAACAGAAAGATGAACATTAACTGGACTTAGTCAAGCCTTTAYTGTGGTTGCACTGGCACATTAGGCTAACTAAGCTTGTCTTATTAATTGGTTTACTGAATGACAACTTAACTCGCAACTTGTATACCTAAATATAAAAAAGGGTACAACTAGCCTTCTGCAAACCTAATCCATACTTGGATAAAGCAGATCAGTTAGTTCTAAGCTGTGCAGTATGATGCAGAAGATAAAATCAGWGGGGAAAACCATTGACTACTCATGGGAAGAAACACAACAGAATCATGACATCATCATCTTCACCAATGATACCAGGTATAGAACCCCTCCTGGAAATACAGATCAAAGTTCCATTGTGCTTGGCACCAAAAAATTTAGATGGCAGACTTGTTTGGGAGTCATGTCATGGGAGAAGTTAGTGCTCAGAGGGCAGCATCTGAACAGAGACAGAGCCAAGCATCTTTAAATTCCAACTTGGAGAAGATGTTCTCTGTTTAAATAGCACCACAGGAGCCTCCACAGAAAGCATGTGGGGTCAGTAGAGAAAGCAGTATCTGAGGTAGGCATGCAGGGGTGAGAGTATTCAATAATGTGGTGAATTTAGGTAGGCAGAGCTGTGGAGAAGGAGGTGGCATTGGCTGTGGCCAGACTCTGACAGTGCAGACTCTGACTTGATCATCTGTGACAAGTTCCTGGTGAYGGTTTCAAAATTGTCTCCTTTCCTTCCCTGTATCTAGTTATGCTCCTATTTCAGGGTTGTTTTTCCTTAGAAAGTTGCTGGGGTGTGCAAATGTTTTAAACTCCAGGGTGGGAGTTTATCTTGCCTTCTCTGCTGCCAGCATCACACTGACTGTGGGGTTGGGAGAAAGCTTGAAAAGAAAAAAATGACTCTGGCAGGATTCTGCTGTCACTGGTGTTGGTGGGATTTTTCCTCTCCTGTACGTTGTAAAATTCTGTAGAGAAGAAGTAAATACTCCCTGTCTTTGATCCACTCAAAACAGCAGTTACTGCTGGGGAACATCTAAGCAGAAAGCTAACGGGAAATAATAATTGAAACCCTCATGTTGGGTGATATGTGGCCATGATAGCCACTTCTTTGTGTTATTCCAGGACTTTTGTTCCCAGCCCTGCAGTTGAAAGCCATTCATCTGATCTGTTATTTTCTGTCAATGAATTACTGATGAAGAATTGAGAGCTGTTTAAAATTCACATCCACATTCTAAGCTGAGATCAGTTGCTTCGACCTTAACTGACCCTTTCTGATCAGTACAGCCCATGAAACCAGAAGTTGTTTTGGAAACACCAGGATCCTTTGCTGCATGTTCGGAGAACACGTGTGCAGACGTGGGCCATCTATGAAAACATCAGCCCTCAGTGCTTTTTGCTGTCTGAAACCTTCTGGCTCACTGTGTGTGTGTGCTGAGGTAGATCTAGAGTGGCAGGTGGGCTTTTTTGAGATGTTCCTTATTTCAAGCCGTTCCTTATGGAGCAAGGTGGTAGAATGGCCACCTAGATTTTTCGCCTTTTTTCCTCCTGAATGAGAAGTCGGTAAGCTTTCGATGTGACCCCTGCCTGCGTTCATTTGGATGCTGAGGAAATCATTGACTAACAGCATTCTTAGATTTTAAAGCTATGCTCTAACTGTGATTATGTACCATGAAAAATAACYGCAGTGCTTCCACAGCTCTTGAGAAGACACATGCAGAATTTGCATATAGAACTGGAGTGTTTTCCGTAAGGTTTCTGGGTATCTGTTAAGCATGGAAATCGAGTTTCTCAAAATGTTTACAAAACTTCTGCAACGGGAATGTTCTAGTTAATGAGTAACTGCTCAACATGCCCTTTWCTAGCATGTGATTTTCCTCTTTGATGTTATGCGTGATCTTGGCTTAATTGGATRTAGCTTTACGGACCTGCAAGGGCTCTCTGAAAAAGCAGTTCTGCTGATTAAATCTAGTGACTGGTCAGAACTGGATCCTGTASATTTCCCTGCTTTCCACCAGCTGTGGGGAAGCCAAGCCAATGCTATTCTGAATCTCATGGTTTCTTGTTGATTTGTTTCTCCTCTGGCACCCTATCCCAAGGATAAACCAAACCACAGGTCAGCTCTTGTGCATCTGTGCRTTTCTGAATTTTGGAGACATTGAGATTAAGGAGGACCACTTGAGTTTGGATTACAGCATGAGTTATGAGGGCTCTYTTTTATTTCCTTCTTCAACAGAGATGTTCTTGTTTAGTTGCTGTAGTGGAAATCTACTGTTAAGAAACAGCATTTGAGATTATCTYRAATATTTTGGTTATGTTCTAATGWCCATAACCTGGACTGTCTTTTCCTTTCTTCTTTGTAAAGGAGGTGCAAGTAGTGCACCTTGTAAAGTAGGTGTTAGTGTTCATCATTTTCTCTGCCAAACATTATGGAACTGCAGTTCTTCACAGCATTGCCTTTGCTTCCTAATAGTCAACCTCTTAATGCTGGTAACCTGCTCATCTCCAGTATCTCTGTAATAGATGTGGCATTAGAGGAGATAAAAACATTCAAGAGGGGCAGTGGAAGAAGGTGCACCTTACCCAGCAGACAGCAGAAGGATGCTGAGCCAGGTRAAAGCTGTGGCAATGKGATGTGGAAGCAGAGTTGTCACATTTCTGCCACTTCTGGCAACAGAGTACCTTCGCCATAAGGCATCAGCAATTCTGTAACTTCGAATCAATGTTTGTGCAAGCGTATCATGACTGATTCCTGTCTTGGCCGAGTGCTGCCTGTGTTCTACATTGGTTAGATGGCAGAAATGCTTGCTCTGGAGAAGTTCAGCCTACACCTTGACACCAACCCAAGCCTGCCTGAGATTAATTCCAATGCTAAAGAAATTGAAAACAGTGTTTAATTCTAGTTACAGACATCCATCTCAGTGCTTAATGGTTGTCACTTATTTTCAGTACATTTTGTGTTGTGGTGCATCAGCAATTTATGGTAATATAGGAAAGGTTGTTTGCTCCCACTGCACAAAATGCCCTTATTCTGATTTTATTCATTATCTGTTAGATATGCTTTGAAAACCAATTTTAAAATTAACTAAAAAATAGGCAGCATCCAAAAAATGTATTCATAGAAAGTGATATGTTTTGACTGCATTGTCATTACTAATAGGAGGTTTAAAGCATTCTGGTAGATCTAAGAACTTASTCTCTAGTGCAGATACAAGCTGCAATATGCACATTACTGGTTAAAGAAAGGTAACTTTGATGAGAGGAAGGTATGACCAGCAGGACAAAGCTTATTCATACTAATTTTGCTGTCATTGTGCATGAGTTGTAATTATACATACATTGTAATTGTATCACTGGAATATCCTATCATATTTTGTTCGAGAAGAGGCAAAAAGCCTTGTGTTTGAAACCAGGAGATTGCATGGGCTCTTGCAAGGAAGCTCAGGCTGTAGGGCRAACTAGAATATGATGGCCAAGTCCTGCACCTAAGAAGGAATAACCCCAAGGAAACAGCTCTGGGGAAMGGACCAGGGTGCCCTGGGTGACAATAAGCTGGACATCAGCCAGCAGTGGACCTGGCAGCAGGAAAGATTTGACAGCAGTCTGGGCAATGTCAGCAGGAGCAGAGCTAGCAGAAGGAGGAAAGTGATTAACTTCCTCTTCTTAACATTTTTTCAGCCATATTCCAAATGTTGTATCCTTTAACGAACAAAACCAGGAGGTGGAGATGATATTAAGGGGAGTTGAGCAAAGGATGACTAAGGTGTTGAGGAGCTAGAACACATGYCCTTTGAGGAGAGGCAGAGAAAGCAAGGCTTGTTCTGCCAGGAGAAGGGACAAACTGGGGGACACTGAACAGCAACCTTTTCATATATTAAGAATGACTTTGAAATCCCCAGACTCCCATAATCACACAGATTCTTTAACTGACTGTCAKTAGATCTTCCTCCTTAATTCCACTACTCTGAGGAGGGTGTGGCAAATGGAAGGACTCGAGGATTTTCTTTGTTTTGACCAGCTGCAACACTTGGACAAATACAGGAAACCCAAATTGAATTAATATTCCTCCCCTCCCCACAGTCAGCTTGTAGAAAGCTAGGAAGGTATGGAATAATCAAGAAAACATGCTTAGCATTCTTAACTCCTCTGCCAGCCTGCAGGACCTGAACTTCATGGGTGCTGTGTCAGTCAGTATTCTTTTAAGCTTGACTCACTCTTGAAATTTCAAAAATTCCTTCTTTAACTGCTTRTTGTTGGGCTTTGGGCTTTGTACARCATTWRAAAARAAGAGAGCTAMTAAAGAGTGATTGTGTGATGTTCATTCTCCTTACCTACTGCTGGTTTTGGCATCCATGATTGTGGGTACCATGGAAATCACAAAATACACTGCTCTGCATCTCAGAGATTCTCTGGACGTCTTAGCAGGACATCAGTTATTCTCTCCAGTTATTTCATCTGCTRCAAGAAAAATAATTGCTTTTAATTACAAGCCCCAGACATTCAGTATGGTTGAATTGATTCTTGCCCTACRTCCTTGAGCATTTGCAAGGCAACTGTCCCACCTGCAGCTGAGGTGTAAGTTACCTTTCTGTTCAAGGAAAAATGTATGCATTAGAGGCTACCTGGATGGATGCTTTGATCTGAATTGTAACCTATGGGTGAATTAAGTTTTTAGGTCAAAATCAAAAGCTGTCTAGCTCAATTTTGGGCTATTTTTTGAAAAAGTAAACCAAAATACCTCTGTTTTTCTTGGTGTATGTTTTTAAACCAGCAGGAGCTGTGTGCTTAGTGAAGAGCACAATTTGCTGCCTTATTTTTTTTTTTTGCTTTATAGTGTACGTCATTGCAAAAGTGAAGTAGTCATTTGGTCTTTAATTTCTGATCGTGACTGCCTTGGAACTATTTATTGTCTTGCTATTTATAGAAATTGAATTGCTTTGCTTCAGTCCAGTACTGTTCAGCAAGTGGTGGTCTCAAGAGAGGGCTTCCAGCACARATGACATGCCTTGAACATTATTGTGCTGCTCTGCACTCTGAAAGGAGAGGCAAAATAAGCTATAAAGAGTAGCTGGTGTTCCAGTGGTGGCAATGATACCCTCAGATCAGGGTTGAAATGAATTCTGTCAAAAAACCTCCATGTTTTTCTGTGCTTAAGGACAAATKCAGGTTTTCTGCAGTTCATCTGACATATTTCAACTTTCGTTGAACTTCTTTTCATACACAAAATTTATTATTGCTAAAGCAGATGGTGATAATGGAATTGGTAATAATGGAATTGGTAATACATCATGGATTTATCGTTGTCTATTTGGAGAAAAAATAYTTCATTTAGTAGGAACAAAACGCTGAGTTATATTTATAAATCCTTTACCCCCCATGTGTACAGATAATGTTTATTAGTCTTTGGAACTGATAAAGGAAGTACTTAATAATTGGGCATTAATCAAAAAAGATGGAAATACACATCACTTTTGAAATAGAAGCTTTGTGACAGACAATCCTACTTGTGTTATTTCTGTGTTTTCTGTGCCTGTGGTCTCACAAATAATTTAGTGTTTTATTTTAAATAATGTTTTTGAGTATTGTTGTCAAATATGTCAGCTCTGTATTTCCGTAAGAGTGTCAAAGGGGAAATTGAGCATTTTATTCTTAAGAAAGGAGTAGGTTAATTGTCCAGGTATTTAAATCACCTGCAAATTGCTTGGGTTGTAGTAGAAGGCGTGGGCTCCTCAGATGTGTTTATGATGCTCAGCTGAGTCAGACCTCTGTTTTTGGTGCAGGTATTTTTGGGCAGAAGCTGGAAGACACTGTCCGGTACGAGAAGCGCTATGGGAACCGYCTGGCTCCCATGCTGGTGGAGCAGTGCGTGGATTTTATCCGACAGCGGGGGCTGAAGGAAGAAGGCCTTTTCCGACTGCCTGGGCAGGCCAATCTGGTCAAGGAGCTGCAGGATGCATTTGACTGTGGAGAGAAGCCTTCTTTTGACAGGTAAAGCCCTCCAGCTGCTGCCCACTCCCAGAATCCTAGGCAGGACGTGATGTGCTGGGCTGGCTGACCCACCGTGCTGTAAAACACGTGACAGCAACAGATAGAATGACATGTTTTGGGGTTTYTCTGTGTGTTTCCTATTACCGCTCTCAAAGGTTGTCTTTTTTTTGTTCTGACTTTGATGTCCAATTTCAAAGTGTTTACGGAGAATTTCCTTTTGTGAAAAGCTGGTTAGGAGAAGCATTGCTAATGTTTTGGCTTAATCAAAAATATCTGGATTGCCTTGATCTTAATACCGTGGTGATGCTGGCATTTAGTCAGTTCCACCAAGGAAGAATTTGTGTTATCACCAATCTCAGTATGTTCTGTTACCTATGAAACTAACTGGAAGGGATGTATACTTTCATGTATTCCTTTACAATTTTGGGCCCTTGGTTTTTTAATAAAAGTCCCTCTGTCCACAAAAACAAATCTGTGTGATCTTGAAGGTCCAGGTTCGATCTGTATTCCAATATTTATGCAGTTTTTATATTATGCGTTTTGTAAAGTTAATGAGACTTTCTGGGCCAAGGAAAACCTGGTCCTGTTCACACAGCTCTGTATGACTTTAGTCTCCTTCTCCTGGAAGATTGATTTTTGTGCTCTCTTCCTGTAAGCATTGACAGCAGTTGGTCACATATTCAGAGTGTGCAATCAGAGAAACAAAACCAGTGGATTATGGATGGCACATAGACTTTATAMCTCTGATCTGAGTTAGTGTGATGGTAATGAAATTCCAGTTCAAGAGACTGTTAGACATGTCCTTAACATGGGTCCTAAGTGACACCCATAACACRTCTCACAGAGACTTTGGGATGTTTCACTGCAGTTGTGGGCCAGTGTGAGTTAGGAGGAAGAGGCAGATTGCATTTATTATGTGAAACCTTTGTCTGATGGCAATCCAAGTAACAGGAAGGAAAGTGTAGCTTGATCTTTTAGTGAAAAAACATGCTATAATTCAAACCTGATTGCTGGAAATTATTTGATCCCTCCATTCCCTGTTCCTGTGAAGTGAGCAAATTCATTAAACGTGAAGGTTTGTGTATCAGATGCACAGAAGGCAGACACCTGTAATGCTCTTTCATCTCTAACAGTTTCCTCAGTCCTGACCCTCACTTTAAAAGAAAAGTCATGAATTTATAATGYTCTGGAAAAGGAAAGTGACTTGTCTTCCTCTAAGGCTTATTAGTTTCTCATTTGAGACTGAGTTAGGATAATTGATGAGTAAATGGCTTTATGGAGCCAGAGGACTATGGGAAGTGACATTGTTAGCTGATAAATGTTTATGGCATGCTTGCTTACTGTTCAAATACCATATTGCTTATCTAAAAATGATAAAGAAGCATCTGCTGGGTATATTTTTCTTATTTGGACATTATGATGAATATTACTGATCACGTCTGTCTCTACCAAAGAGACACCAAAGAGTAGGCAAATGGCAGAAACAAAAGGTTATTTTTTTCTGTGCCTGTAAGCCAAATAATTGTGGAGGAAATGCTTAAGGGAACAAGCCACSCCCAAACTGTAGGAAGATGATGTACCAAACACCCCACTGAGAGGTACAGCTTGAAGGAAGTGCACAAGTTCTAGCTATTCCAAACAAATGAGATCAGGGCTCAGCCACACTAATTTTCTTTTCTCAAGGTTATCTAGCAACATCTGTAGCACAGACTAATGAGCCCCATGAACAGGTATGCTGGCTGAGCTTCAGCAGATGAAAAGGAGAAGAGATTTTACATGCTACTGCTGTGAAGAATGCACGTAATTTCTACTCTAGCAATTAGAAACACCAGCAGGAGCTGCCTATAAATCGCTGGTCCTGCAGTTCTGCTTCTGAGGCTGAGAATTTATAGAACACTGACCTTGTACGTCCCCATGTCTTGCACACGGTACTTTTGCTGTTTACTTTTTCACATWTGAGTTTGGAGAGGTGTGATTTAGGTGTAGCAGTGGTCTGGAAGTGAAGCAGACMTAAACTCTGCTCTAATCTTTGCATTATTTCCATTGTGCATCTGCTTTTTTCCTCCAACCCTTTCGTTCCATTTGTAAACTTTTGAGGTCAAGTTCATTTCACAGTGTTTATGGAGTACCTGTGTGATGACCTTGRTTCAGGGTTACTTTTCATTGTGCTGAACAGCAGCATGGGCTGCAGGTTTGATGCAACCTGTTGGGCAAGTTGAGCTCTTGGAAAGTGGCCACAATATGAAAAGTTCTGTAGAGAAAAAAATAYATGTGCACTAGGCATCCAGGCTTGGTTTCTGTGGTGAACCTCCATCCAGATCCACTGAGTTTAATCTGTAATTATGTGTTGTTATTGGCCAAAAGTCCCATAGTGCAAAATCTACCCAGCTTCTTTCTATTAATTTACATTTTCTGGTTCTCACACATCAAGAAAARCAGAGATTTTTCAGTTAGAGCAGAGCTGACATTTTTGTTCCTGAGGCACGGAACACAATGGAATACAGGTCACACTTCCGTAGCGGTGCTGGGTCACTGGCTCTGACTGGGAGAATGACTGGCTGCTSTCATCAGTGTTGGAGCTAACACAAAGAGCTGATGTTTGAGGAGTTYGCCATTTTTCATGGTCACATTTCTTTCCATGTATAAGTGCACATAARTCAAAGACTTTAGAACAAGTGAAGATGCCTAGAAGTGTATGTGTAGGCTCRTGTATATTTTTGTGTGATAAATTTCTATTAAATAATCCTTTATGCCTTTATGGCCAATTCAGTAAAATACATTACACAGAATTAAAAGCAAAACCACAGGTAAGATGATACACCCATGGTGTATCCTTTAAAATGTCATCTCTGTTTCAAGATGGATGCACGCCTTAAATCACCTTACAGATGTTGGGAGATGGGGTTCAGAGGCACAGATCTGCYCTTTGGCCCAGACTTCAGCTGCTGTCCACAGTTCTCTGGAGACCCTGCCCTTCTTTCTCCTTTCTTGCCTTCTTTTCTGTACCATTTTGGCAGAGAGGACCACAGAGCAAGCACAAGCAGAGCAGATATAGCAGATTAGAAACAAAAAGTGGAACAGCTTTGTTCAAAAGAAAATGCAGCCACATTTTGAAACATAAAACATACCTGAGAAATGGTTGCTCTCATGTGAGTTAGCAGCTGGATGTTCCAATATGGAAGTCAGTTAGAAAACAACAGTGGAAAAAACCTTCAATTACTAACTTTGATCTTGATTTTATGTTTGGCACAAGATGTTGGTGAAGAAGCATGTATGAGAAGGGAACCAGTGTTTAAAATTTTTCAGACTCACAGATTGAGAAAACCCAGCATCTAATCTGAAACATTTGGCACCCCAGGCCCGCTCCTGTGAAAACTGAAACATCATCATTTCTCACAATATTGTAAAGGTGCAGCTGCTATAATGAAAACTGCTGAGGCCTTTTGTGTGAAGAAAAGCACAACACCTCAAAATTGTGTGTCAGTTTAGAAACAAAAATCAATAAATATCTCACTCCCTCTGAAYGTATTGCACATATTGTGAAATTTGCTTTAAGGAACTAGCAGTGCAATTAGGCAATCACTCATGSTTGCTTCTATTTGAAATATTCTTGGTATTCCCAGTACAGCTCCACCTCTGTGTAAAATTGCCCCCTCCAGGGAATCCATTCTCTTTGCCCTTGGGGTATTTGTTTCTCTCTTCTTGTGTGGCTTACATTTTGCTTAAAAAGTCCCTCATCTCCATTGCAAATCATACATTTGTAATGACGCAAAGTGAATTATGACCATTTATTCTGTAAAATTAGCACAGAGAATATGGCAGTTCATAAGGAMAATAGCATAAGGATTTGTTCTCCAGTTTTTAGCTAGGAGGGGTACAAAATTGGATTTCTCTTTTTATATTGCCTCTTTCCATCTGCTGTTCGTCACAATTATTACCAGATGACATGTGAGATAAGATTGCTCAGGGAGAAAAAATATTTGAAATGTCACTGGAACAAATATTAATACAAAAATAATGTGAGTGATGTGTGTGGCTTGGATTTTCATAACTATTACTGATGTATATTGTTCTGTAGTTCAGGAGAGTTTTAACATAGCTCATCTGCATTTGTGTGCATGCACAAGAGAGAAGGAAAACACATAAATGCATATTTAGCAAAACATTTTCTTTTGAATATGAATTCCTCTAAGGAAGAATACAGTGTATTATAGAACAAAATGTTACTTAGAGCTCTAGTCACCACTGCAGTCAGCTGAGAAAAAGGTACTTAAGTGGCAGCATCTGAGAGCTGGAAAATGGTTAACTGTTGCTGGAGCCAAATAATCCAGGATGTAGGGCTGGTATGTTCCTGTGCATTTAATCACTGGGATTGTTGATGCAAAATAAGACAATGATGATGATGGTAATAATGTGATACCCTCAAGGTGAGAAGGAGTGTGTGCAAAGTTCTTATTCTCCTCCAGAGGCAAGGAATTCTTTATCATTTTGGTGAATGCAGGAGATGGGATGTGTCTCAGTGGGGCTGCAGTCTGAGTTGACACTGTGCAGACGGCAAGTGGAAGCACTGATTGTAAAAATTGTTCTTTGTTCTCCAGATCCAAATCTGTRCATAAGAGTTTGTTTAGAAGCAGAYAGTTTCCCACAAAGAAAGGGCTTTATATGCCTTCCTACTGGCAAAGTGCAGTAATCCCTAAAACKTCACATTTTTATGTGAAAGGAAGTCTTTACTCGAAAGCTGATTCCTGCCAAACGCAATTTGCCTTAGGCCTCTGAAAATTCCCGTTTGTTTCTGCCTGTTCCTCACTTTATTCCCTGATCCTCTCAATCTGCTATGCCTCTGGACACACTTCCATGTCCTTTCCAGTTCCAGCCCTTTTTCTAACCAGTTAACAGAAATAACYTCTGCATATGGCACAACTTAAAGACCAGTCTGGTAATTAAATACACATTAGGAGACACATCTAGTGTGATGCAGGGTCATTAAATCAGTTTAATTG